CGAGACGGGGACTTCCAATGGATGTTGCGCAACGGGAGTTGCGCGAGAAGCGCGGTGTGAATTTGGTCCCAGTTTCCGGAGGACAGAAACGCCTGTGCGCCAGAGTACGACACCAGGACCCGCTGGGGAGGTGCCATAGATTTGTTTGCCTAGCTCATGGGATGCAAACAACCGCTCGTGGCCAAATGCGGCAGGTCCTCGTCGAATAGTCAGAAGCCTATAGAACCTTCGCACTCTGATTTGTCTTCTGGAAAAACGTGTTTATTGGAGGTTCAAGGGTTTAATAAACATATGGTACGCTATCGTTCGGCGCGAAATTGTAATGTGAAAGTACTGTGCGTTTGAAGACTTGTGCTCACGACATTTGACCAAAACTTAGAAGGAAAGGAAATGATATGTGGGAAAGAAGACGGTGAAGGATGGGAAGGTAACTTTTCGGGGGTTGTCGCTCCACTGAACGCGAGGGACTAGCGACATCTCGCGAGCTCAGAAACTTCCATCGGGCCAAGAGCGGTCAACTGAGGAATGGTCTCCAGATGTCATTTTGCGGGGGCTAGAAGGAATTTGTACCCAATTAGATGCACGATATTTTCGTGTGCGAAAAAGTCTGGGGACCAGTAAATAGAAACCGGGTGGCAGACTGAGATTCACTTTGCAATGTGAAGCTTCAGACAAGAATACGACTTGGTCCGGATACCGACCAAGTTCCGACCGTCCTAAATCCTCGATGGGCTCCCAATTGGCGTGAACCAAGTAAAATGGGCTTCTGGTCCACACCCAGGATACTGCGCACGCCTGAGCTGCTTCCAATTGCCGGGTCTATGAGTTAAACGAGGTCGCTTAAAGAATCCGAATCCGTGAGTTGTTCCGTGAGTCTTGTGCCGGTTCAAAACGCCCCACGAGCTTATTGCATGCATGTCTAAGTTTAGCGCAAGACAAACGTTTGAAAGTTTATCGGGGTGCAACACTAAACTGGAAACGGAGACACGAGAGGAGCGACCACATCCTAGGCTCAGATTGAGACGTTGACTCGATGAGTTGGGCTGAGATGGGAGAGGAGAGATCTCGAGGATGACTAAGACAAGGCTGTGCCGCTCTTTACGCGATCTGTCTCAGGGCTATACTTAACCCATACATCTATCGGTCGACTCTGACCTGATGAACGTTCTAATTCCGACGCGCAGCCAGGCGTCGTCGCACCACACCGTGGCAGGTCTATACTTAGACGAAATTTGGTCTGCAATACTGTTGACAGCGCAGCAGCCCTGGAAAAGGAGATGATTTTAATCGGCGCTTTCCGGCGGAAAATAACCCCCGCTAAATCTAATAATGACTTCGTCCGAGGTAAAAACCGACGCACTCGCACCTGTCGAACTACATCACTCGTCCCCAACTCTTGACTCGTCCCATTATGCTGGACGTTGACCCCCCGGTCGACCGACACATTCGAAAGTTTCCCCTCACAGCCATCTCTTACTTGTCCCCGTATACCGGCCTGATCATCTCCGTGGTCCTGCTCGTCTTCTTTCTGATCAAGTTTTATGTCTTGGAACTCTTTCTCCTTCGAAAGCTCTACGGTACCAAGTATACCGACTTGGACGAAGTGAACCGCCGCAGTTTCGTTAACCACCATATTGCTGGTGCGACCAAAATTGTCATCCTCATCATCGCTGTATACCCCTTCGGAGACGTTGCATTCGGGAATGCTGGATTCCACACTCCATTCATCAATGGCTCCAGGGTCACAATGGGGGATATATTGGTGATCTCGTCGCAGATGCTCGTCGGCATGTTCATTTTCGAGCTGATTTACCGCACGAAAATATCTCCAATCAGTGTGGTAATTATTTTCATTGTCGTCCGTTGGCGATGCAAAGGTCTCATACGCATCTAGGTACATCATATGGCCTCCATTCTCATAGCTCAGGCTGCTATCACAATCAGCATCGACATGGAGAGGGACTCTAGCATCGAATTCCTACTCTGTACCGTATGGGGTGCGTTTACTTCTCCCATGCAAGGCCCTTGATCTGATGGTGCGCTTCCAGGTGCATTTGACATAATATCAGAGTTTCTTCCACATCTAACCATCATCCTGTATCGTGTCTATCCCGACTCTCACCGCTTCCTTGCCACGCTCTTCCGTGCCGCATGCTTCACGACATTTTTCGGTACAACCGCAGAGACAGTAGTTGCAATGTACTTATTCGGGCAACTTTGGAGCCGTTGGACCTTGCCGTTCAAAATTGCGACCCCAGTGCTGCATATCGCGTTCTCGGCGGCCCAGTTTCATGGGACCCGCATTTTCTACAGGATGTGGAAAAAACAGCAAAAGATCATTCGGGATCAGCGGGATCAGGAGAAACAGGCAGCGAAGGAAGAAGAGCTAGGACAGCAGAATGTGGACCCGGAGGTACACTTTACTAGCGAGGTCAGTAACAGGTTCCATTGGAACTCGGACGGTACCTGATGACTGGCCTAGATTTCATGAACATGGCAATAGCGTGATCCTGCTTAATGGCCTCGCGATCAGCCCTTTGTTCCTCGAGAAGCCACCCTTTCCATCGCAACGTAAGCCAGGGACCCTGTGCATATCCTATGGACACACATAATCAGTAAATAATATTTAAAGATTGGGAACAGGTGACTAATGTCGGTGTTGAAGCTGAAGGAGGGTGTGTGGCCCGGGACAATGTCATTTTTTCGTTAGTTCTTGATGATTTGTCCCCTTGTAAATCGCCCACAAAATTTACAGGGGCCAAATGAGCATTCCCCGGGTTCAGCGGGATTCCGAAGAAGTCCGCCAAGGTTATCGAGGTACTTGTAGTTCACCTTCACATCCGCGGGCATCCGTCGAGGTCGGGAAGGAACACACATGACCTTGAGCTCCTATGATAGACCCGAGAAAGTACAGAGCTATTGGTAGCCTTGATCTAGGGTGGTCGTAGGAGATTGAGTGCAGCCGGTACGGCCTGTGAAGACGAGCCATTGCGACACGATGATGCGCCTCCTCATTGGGTTGTTTCCTTGAATTGCGAGGGCACCAGTCGTGGAAGTCGCAAGAGGTGGTTTTCGGACCACCGAGATGAGTCTTTTTGGAAGTAAAATCGTTAACGAGACACTGCAGGCGACACGCCTCTTGGTGATTTACTCCGAGCAGGGTGTCAAGGACTGAGGAGTATAAATATGACGCTGTCCCTGAATTTGCACCAAGGTTTACGATTCGCGGGCATAATGGAGAACGTGGAACAGGATGAAGAGCGTATGTAGATGCTTCAATGGAGTACGTCGGCCGTAGGCTTGATGATACCGTCGCGGCGTACGCGCAACGGTCATTCCGCCCGTTATTTTACGCTTTATTCTGCACCCCTTTTCAGATTATTAGTAGATTCACTGTTTCTGAGGTCGCAGTCATTTTTTAGTAGCGTAATAATTTATAAATGTATTTGAAGGTATTCACCTTTTCGCGGCTGCCATTTCATGCAAGGTATCAAACAGCTCTCAAAACAAACTAAAAAACGAAAAGGCAAAGAGCTTCGAGGTTCGCCTCCGTTGGGTAAATCATTTATCGTCGCATCGCGTCGGCGCGTGAGCCAAGCACGGTAACGTGACTGACGACCGAGAATTCAAGCGGAGTCTGAATTCGGTGATGGATGCTGTCAGCCGCCCCTCTCCTCTCGATGCTTCTTCGCACCCCATTCTCCCCTCAAGCTTCGACCCGTCATTGCTTTTCGACGCAAGATCTGCTCATCGCCATCTGGCTTTGACTCGTCATCGACTCTCAAATCCAAAACAGTAGCACTCGACACACTACCGCCTCGACGCGGAACGAGCGAGGGCTGTCAAGAGAGACTACCTCGACGCCGTCTCCTCAACCTCCATGGACGTTCGACCCACCCGTCATCGGCAACTCTTAAGTACAGACCTCAAAGACCTCAGTACGCAACACGCTGCGTGCCAGCATGTCTCGCTCCCTTCTCTCGCTAACGACATCTCCTCGAGACCTATTTTCCGGTGGTCTAATTTGCCTCGAAGAGACTACTTTTCTTATATAGACCTCAAGAGCTCAACTGGACGATGCGGCGGGGACATTGGAGTGTCGCGTACGTCCTCCAACTCTTCTTACTTCAGTCACGTCTAGGCGACGGACGGGAGGCTGTAGCCGCAAATCAGCCACCCCGCCCATCCTCTTCTTACTAACCACCTTTTGATTTTGCACCGTGAGGGAGTCTGGCGCGCTGTAAGTTCTCTATCTTGCCCATACTCATCCACATTCGATACCCTGCCGCCTCGACGCCACCTCCTCAACCTCCATAGACATTCACTCTCGACCCACCCGCCATTGATAACCCTCAAGTATAGGACCTCAAAGACTAGCTTCAGGTGGTCTAATCTGCCTCGAGCAGGCTGCTCTTATAGGCTCTTATTAATAAGTCTCAAGACCTTCACTGGATGACGGGCTGTATGGCGGGGACGTTGGAATGTCGCGTACGTCCTCCAACTTTTCTTGTTTCTCCGATTCAGTCCCATCTAGGCGACCAACAGGCTGTAACCGTAAGCTAGTCACCTCGCCCATCCTACCTATTTTTGGATTTGGGTAGTGCACTGCTGCACCGTGAGGGCGTCCAGCGCACTCTTAAGTTGTTCTCCAGCTGCTCTATCTCACCTATACTCACTCATGTTCGTCCACAGAAGGGATCTCGGCGTAAGCCACGTAGGAGGACCCAATGTATGCAAACAAGAGGCCGCGGCGCCGCCAATGCACTATCGCAATCTTAGAGGAATTAATCAACTAATTTTAATGAGGTTTGGTGACTGATATTTCTATTTTTTTTTTCCAAGTGTTTTTCTGTGCATTTCAACCTGTTTGAAGAACTTTTGAAAATAAGTAGGACCCCTCCTTCTCTTACCATATAAGGAAAGTTCTTATCTTCGAAACAGGACACGAAAGGGAAGAGAATAAAAAAGAAAAAAGGTCATCTTTTGGACTCTTTCTCATCTGCCCCCTGGCCCAGCTGGTTAAGGCGCACGACTGTTACAGTTGGGATCATTTGCTTACGCAATCCTGATTACGTAATCGGAATCGTGAGATCGGGAGTTCAATCCTCCCGGGGGCAGTTATTTTCCTCTTTTTCTCCTCCATTTTTCATCTAGAGGCCTCAATTTTTGCTCTCAGAAAGGACGCCACACTGCCATGGGAAAAAAGGAAAGGAGACCGGTGGTCGCAAACAACGCATCGTCTGTCGTTTTCCCCGACATCGCGCCGAAGACTGAACTCCAATGCCGCGTCCTCCTCGAGAACCAAATTATCGTTATCGATGTTTGTTGGGAACGCGCTATTCGACGACTGGTGCATTGAGCTATTCCCTCAGGACATCTTCTCTCCAGCCGAGTGTAAATCCTTTGTGAAATTCATCGATAGCCTCCCACTGGAGCTTACGCCACCCAAGAAACGAGGGGAAGCCGAGAGACACAACCGTAGGCACACGCTGCACACGACAAACGCAGACTAACGAGTCGCAGACCGATATTCCATCAGCTCTGTCGACTTTGCGAAGCGACTGCATGCTGTAATCGCCCCGCATCTCCCTCTGTTTCTTCCCAAGGCAGGCGCTGCTCGCGAGGCCCACTCTTTCAATTCAAACATACGGGTCTACAAATATACCCCGCAGCAGCATTTTGGGTCCGTTGTTCTTGTCTTGACAACACGTCTTCTCAACCGCACAGACCGCACTACGACGACGATTGCCGCGATCAAATGACGGGAGCCAAGTCCGAGTGGACGCTGTTGCTCTACCTGACTGGTGCGGAAGACGGAGTCGAAGGGGGCGAGGTATTCGCGGTCTAGTGTTCCTTATGGCGGAAACTTATTCGCTTGCAGACCCTGTTCTACCAGAGCAAGGATGTCATCAAGCCTCCTTTGACGCGCGGGACAGCTCTCTTGCATCGGTATGTGGGGATCAACTCCCGAGGCAATGATTTATAAAGGGCTTAGGCACGGGCAAGAATGCATGCTACACGAAGGATCGCCCGTTATGCGCGGCGTGAAATATGTCCTGCGGTCCGATGTCATGTTTTTGGGTTGAACTACTGAGCCAAAAACTCTTTCATGTACGCGACCAGAACGTCCGTCTGTTCTTCTGTCACGGCGTTGTAAAGCGAAATTCGTATACCTGGGACTCGAATTAAAACCATTATTGCAGCAGGCGCACCGCTTACCTCCAACCGACCTTGAAACGCACATTAGCAACCATTAAACCTCAAGAGGATAAAGACGCACCGGTGTCCCTTGATCGCCTTCATACCCAGCGCTTCGGCGCCCGAGATGAATTTGGCCTCTGCGCCGTCACCGAGCACATCAAACACCACGTTCATTAGGCTCCCCGAGCCCTCTTTGACTTTGGCCCGCAACAGGCCCTTGGCCTCGCCCTCTTTAATGACCGCATAGAGCTTGTCCGCCTTTCGTTTGTTGACCTCCTCGTAATACTTGACGCCGCCCAGCGCCTGCGAGCGCTTGAGCACCAGCCCCGAGATGTAGATCGGGAGGACGGATGGGGTATTATATACGCTGGAATTGTCCGCGAGCGTCTTGTACGCCATGGTCAACGGGACGGGCGTGGCCCCGAGCGTCGCGGCCGCATCGACGTCGACGAGGCAGTCCTTCCGCACGATGAGGATGGTAAGGCCCGCGGGCCCGATGTTTTTCTGCGCGCCCGCGTAGATTACCGCGTGGTCGGCTAGATGGGGAATGGGGCGCGACATGAACGACGATGAATAATCGCCCACGAGCGGCAGCAGGGCATCCTTGGGCAGGAGATGGAACGGGAAGAACGCCGGGGACGACGCGTCGTTGGCAAATTCTACGCCATCCACCGTCTCGTTTTCGCAGTAGTAGATCAATGCAGGATCGGGCGAAAATGTGTAGGCATCGTGGGCGGGGATGTTGTCAAAGGACCTGCCGTCCTTCGAGTACGCGCGAGCATCGACCGCGACATTCACCGTACCTCCGCCCAGTCTCCGCGCCTCTTCAGCCGCTTTTTTGCTCCAAGAGCCAGTAATGACATAGTCCATAACCCGTTCGTCATTGGAAAGATCAGGGTGGAGCAAGCGGTGTCGGGCGAGAAGATTAAGAACGACAGCAGAGAACTGAGCTGACCCGCCGCCCTGGGTAAACAAGATACTGTGCGTCGGAGGAACGTCTAGCTGAGTGCGAATCAAGCCCTCCAGGTCTGCAAGAAAGGCAATGAACTCCTTTGAACGATGGGAGATCTCCGCGATTCCCATGCCTGTGCCATTAAAGTTGAGCAGACCTTGAGCCGCTTCCTGCAACACGGATTCCGGCAAGGCAGAGGGACCTGCGCCAAAATTGATCACTCGCGACATGGTAGTCAGGATGCAAGTTTATGTCATGGTGTCATGTATATGTATACAGCGTCGGCCGAGTCATAGCAAAGGGCAGATCGATATGTAAGTATGCATGCAGATAGTTCAGAACATCAGCTTTAGGCTGAAATGGCAACAATGGGTGCGAAAGACAAAAATCGATACTAGTGCAGATATATACGTCTCCGAAATTCTTTGGGATAAATGAGGATGCAGATGGGGACGAACATTGAGAACACATCGAGCATGGGGTTGGGATAGCGAGGACTCGAGATGCGAAATTATGGTCGAGATATGTTGCAATACGAAGCGATTATGAGCAGAGTAGAGTGGTCAGCGGCAAGCGCGCGCGTATTAGGACCGTGTGTTGTGATCGCAAGAAAACACGGGCATAAGGTTGTGAAAGTCGATGCGAGAGTGATTAATGTGTGAGAGGGGTGTACGGGGGGTCGTTTCATGCAAGGATGGCGCCTTGAGGGCAAGGGGATTGGAGCGCAGCGACGTCTTGCGACGCCGGATGGGGCCGGCGCCAGGTGGGGCCTGGTTCGGGGGCTCGTCGTCGTCGACGACCAGTTGGGAGAGATCTGCAATGTCCGCAAGATCGAGCGCGTCGGGGAGGGTATCCATCGCGGATATCCACGGCAGACGGTCAAAGGGATGAAGTGTGGACTCGATGTGGCAGTCTGCACGCGCGCAATGGCGACGGCGACGCGGTCGGACGGTCCGTCGTCGATGAGGGGTGCTGCAAAGGGGTCGTGCGGGCTAAGGGACAAAGGGTGAGCTGCTGCGCCACACTAGCAAAGAAAAAACGCGCGTACCGAGCCTAGTCGCGTATCGAGAAGGATGGGAGACTGGAGTCGCTGGAGTGGTTGGGGGGTCATCTGTGGCGCACAATAAGCAGCTGGGGTGGAGCAAGGGCGCGAATGACGAACCATGGAATAAATAGCAGCAGAAGTGGGCAGGGGCTGGGGAGATACAACTGCGAGCATCTGGGGGATAATAAGAATACAGTGGGCGTCGTGAGGGGTCTTTATGGGATTTGAATCAGGGAGAGTTGATCATGGCGGTTATGGAGAACAATGGGCTTTTTGCCTGGTGGGAGAGCGAAGGAGACTTCAAGGAGTAATCGTGGGGTCACGTCCCGTCACAATCCACGCTGCTTGAGTCACAGCTCTCACGATCGCGCATTATCTCGATCGTCTTCACAAATTCACACCGCGACTCAAAAGAAAGGAATGACTCGAGAAGGAAAAATGATATTTGGTTTAAATTCGTGCAGAGGACAGACAAGAAATGCGAGTATAGTATAGCGACAATCAATCAGTCAATCTCCTCCATCGCAGACGTCGAGGCGCCCTCCAGTGGCGGCGGGGCATCGTCGTCCGCGGCCGCAGGAGCCTCCTCCTCGTCTTCGTCAACATCCAGGCCCAGGCTGTCACACCGTCAGACAAAGCAAGCAGCGCACAAAGGAAACAAAACTCACGAAATCATGCGGTGAATGCGCTTGGCGAATGATGTCGGCTCGTCCAGCGCGAACCCAGACGTGAGCAGCGCAGTCTCGAACAGCAGGTACGTCAGGTCGCGCACAGACTTGTCGCCCTTGTCCTCTGCAACCTTCCGCTTCAGCTCCTTGATGATCGCGTTGCTCGGGTTCAGCTCTAGCGTCTTCTTGGACGCCATGTACGACGACATGGACGAGTCCCGCAGGGCCTGTGCCTTCATGATGCGCTCCTGCACACGCCTTTAGCGCTCATGTTACAAGAAAGAAAAAGAAACACACCATGTTGGACGACCACCCGAACTGCCCGGTGACGAGGACACAAGGCGAGTCGGTGATGCGGTTGGAGACGACGACCTTCTCGACCTTGTCACCGAGGGCGTCCTTGACGGTGGTGCACAGCTCGCTAAACTCGGTGGCCTCGGTCTCCCGCGCCTTCTTCTCCTCCTCGGTCTCCTCGAGCTCGAGACCCTCCTTCGACACACAGATCAGCTTCTTGCCGTCAAACTCCTTGAGTTGCGTGATGGCATACTCGTCGATGGGGTCGACGAGCAGGAGCACCTCAAAGCCCTTCTTCTTGAGGACCTCGAGGAAGGGTGAGTCGCGGACAGAGGCAAGGGATTCGCCGGTGAGGTAGTAGATGGATTTCTGGACCTCGGGCATGCGGGTGATGTAGTCTAGAGCTGTATAAGCCAACGAATCATAAAAGAAAAGAGCACGTACCCTTGAGCGAGATCTGCTCCTCGGTCGATTTCGTGGAGAAGAAGCGCAGGAACTCGGCGAGCTTGCTGCGGTTCTGCGCGTCCTCGTGGATACCGAGCTTCAGGTTCTTGCCGAACGCCTCGTAGAACTTGGCGAAGTTGTCCTTGTCCTCGGCGATCTCGCTGAGGACGTCCATGCACTTCTTGACGATGTTCTTGCGGATGACCTTGAGGATCTTGTTCTGCTGGAGGGTCTCACGGGAGATGTTGAGAGGAAGGTCCTCCGAGTCGACAATACCCTTGACAAAGTTGAGGTACTCGGGGATGAGGTCCTCGCAGTCGTCCATGATGAAGACGCGGCGAACGTAGAGCTTGATGTTGTTGCGCTTCTTCTTCGACTCGAAGAGGTCAAAGGGTGCGCTGGGTCGGCGATGAGCACGACGCTAAAACATTTTCAAAAGAACAAACTCACCGCTTGGGGATGAAAAGGATGGCCTTGAACTCGAGCTGACCCTCAACGGAGAAGTGCTTGACAG